AGAAGAAAGACCCTGGCTTTGTTGGTGGCCAGTTGAAAGGAAAGTGAGGGTCATCTTTTGTCACAGAGGGTGGTGGGGAGCGGCTGTGTGTATGCACCTTTTGGGCAGAGACAGTTTAAATTTAGGGTTTACGCATGAGCTTCAAGGGACCAATGGGCCCCCAAATTATTTGCCCCACTGAATGTGGGGGTGAATATTCTGAGGGAGATGGTCCCCAGTCTTCAACTCCTTCCTGGGCCCCATGATCCCAGCCTGGAGTGGCTCTCTTTGCTCCTGTGGGTTGAGATGGCTCCTCTTCTAACTTCCTTCCTGCCAAGCTTGGGACAACCTGACCACTTCCTGAACAGGGACACCAGGGACAGCCAGGCTGGAGCCACCTGCCTGGCCCCAGAGCAGCCCAGGCCTGCCTCTGGGGCTATCAGAACTCCGGGCCATCCTGGGCAGGCCAGATGGACTGCACGATGGATGGCAGGGATGGTTTGTATGACTCTGCAGAATGGGCAGGTGCAGGTGCCCCGGGGGCCACGCTGTGGGGCTGACAGCAAAGGGTGCCATCCCGTTGATGATGGCGGTTGCAAGGTGGGGGGAGAGGATCCACTGCAGTGTGGCCCTGGCTGGGCTGGGGTGGGGGTGGCATGGGGGGGTCTTTTCCTAACAGGGCTTGGTTTTTCTCGATGACAGTGCTGCCATCCCCGGAGGTTTTGATACCACAAAGTGCAAGACGATCTTCCACAAGAACACTTGCAGCTACTCCGTGGTGGAGCTGGAGAACCCGGACAAGGAATGTCCAGTCAGCTCGTGGATCCTGTGAAGAGCTAGCGGCCCCAGGTCCTCCCGCGGGCCCAGACAGCCCGATGTACAGCCCTGCTTATCAGTAAAGCATGTGTGGAGCAATCACTCGGCTGTGTATGCATTGATTGCGCATTTTACTGGCTGGGGCACTGTGTGTTCCATTTGAATCTTGATGTTGTGGCCCCAGAACCTTGAATTCTCCCTTGTGTCGAGTGTCAGTGGGACCCTGGTGTGCCTGGCTGGGTTAAGGGCTGGTGAACTGTGCCTTACTCCCACCGAGGGCACCTCCGTGGTGGCATCCCCATCCCATCAGTGCTGTATCATCACGTCCCATCCATGGGACCCTCTTCTAAGGTTCCCATGGACCCCGAGTAGAAATCAGCCAGGGCTGCCCCAGGCAGTGAGGTGGGAGGAGCCTCGATGCAGGAGTCTCAGTGAGCTTACTCAGCTCTGGCTTGTTGCATGCATTTGGGAAGTGAACCAGCAGGTGGAATCTCTCCCTCCCCCCATATCTCTGCCTCTCAAAAGATAAAAATCCATTTGCTCAGCAAACACGTCAGGCCTTCTCTGTGTCAGTTCTGAGCGCCCTGAGCCTGGAATGGCAACTAGCACGTGGTTGGGGTGAGGGTGCCCTCTCCCTCTCTGCTGCTATGTTGCCTGTCCACAGGAAGTATGCTCACTTCTCTCTGCTGCTCAGAATCAACCCCTTCCCTGGAATTGCTCCATTGCTTACCAAGTTCGTTTTTCTCATGAACTCCTCTCTCTCCCTCTCCTGACCAGAGCAAAATACAGATTTTGATTAAACTTTCTTTGGGAGAATTTCCTGGATCCTTGCACCTTACTTGAGACACAGGTAGATTTCCAAGTGGCAGTAGCAGTGGAGCCTGCGGCTGGAGGCCCAGGCAGAGGCTGCCCCCATCAGGGGGTGGGAGATCTCCTGGCCTCCCCACCTCCCAGCCCCTGCTGTATGACCGCAGTGAAGGAGTGAGCTGTGGAGGCAAAGGCCCAAGGTCATCCAGCCCCCAGCGCTGAGACACCCCTAATGTTCCAGTTTTCCCTTCTCATTCTCTCTTTAGCTGTTTCAGCTACAGAATTGGGTCTGATTTAAATGAAAATATGCATCCAGTAATATGCCCTTTGCCACTGCAACTTGTACCTGCACGCAGACAACAGAATTACACAATTTCATTTCCTACTAAAAACTTGTAAAAAAAAAAAAATCTCACCTAGGGGCCAGCATTGAGATGCAGCAGGTTAAACTGCCACTTGGGACACCCACATTTCATACTGGAGTGTTGTTTCCAGTCCTGGCTGCTCTAGTTCCAGTACACTTGGGAGAGAGCAGATAACAGAGCAAGTGCTTGGGATCCTGACTCCCATGCGAGAGACCCAAATGGAGTTCCAGGCCCCTGGCTTTGGCCTGGCCCAGATCTGGCTGTGGGGGCATCTGGGGCAGTGAATTGGCAGATGGAACATCTCTCTCTATCTCTGTGTTGCTCTGCCTTTCAAGTAGATGAAAACCAACAGACTTTAAAAAAAAAAACTAAGAATATCTCTTGAACAACAACCACTTTCCTTTTTAATGTTTTTTATTGTGGTAAAATCTATATGACCAAACATTTGCCAGTTTCACCACTTCAAAGCGTACAGTTCAGGGCCGTGAAGTTCATGCACAGCCAGAGGCACCCATCACCGCCATTTCTAGAACTTTCCAGGGACTCCAAACCAAAACTCCCCGTGTATGCAGTCCTACCTCCCCCTCCTCCTCCCCCAGTCCCTGAGAACAACTAATCTACTGTCTCTGTGGATGTGCCTAGTGTAGATCTTTCTTGGAACAGAATTGCACATTTATCTTTTGCACTCTGCATATTTCGCTCAGCAGCACGTTTGCAGGGTTCATCCGTGTTGCAGCCTCTTTCAGTAATCCCTTCCTTTTGAAGCCTGAAAAATATTCTGTGTTATCAGAGTAGCCTATTTTACTTCCGTTCCTGTGCTGACGGACCTGTGGGTTGCCTGCACCTCTTGGCTGTAGTGGGTGCTGCTCTACAGTATGGTTGAGTCCCTGCTGTCAGTTATTTGGGAGCGTGTACCTGGGGTGGAGTGGCTGGGTCTCATAGTGTGTATTTTTTTTAACTCTTTGAGAAACTGCCCATCTGTTTTCCACAGTGGTCACAACATTCACATTCCATCCTGTAAGCAACCATATTTTTTAACTTAAAATATTGTTGGATTCAATTTTATCAGTAAGCATTCTTTTAAAAAAGTTATTTATGTATTTGAAAGGCAGTTACAGAGAGAGAGGGAGAGAGAGCGCAAGAGAGATCTTCCATCCAATGGTTCACTCCCCAAATGGCCACAGCATCCAGGCTGGGCCAGACCAAAGCCAGGATCCAGGAGCTTCTTTCAGCACTCAGGCCATCTTCCACTGCTTTCCCAAGTGCATTAGAAGAAAGCTGGATTGGAAATGGACTTTGAACTGGTGCCCACATGGGATACTGGCATCACAGGTAGCGGTTTAACCCTCTACGCCACAACACTGGTGCCCAAACAACCATTTTTAACATTAAAAGTTTCAGTAATAATTTCCCAAGTTTTCAGTATAAAACATAGTAATTATAGCACTATTGGAAAGTATAGGAATAAAATATATTTATAATCTCACTGCTTGAAGGTAACAACGATTAGTATCTTATCCTGATTTTCTTCTAGCTCCTTTTTAGGTTTTGTTTTAAATATTTATTTATCTGAAAGGCAGAGTTATAGAGATGGAGAGAGAGGAGGGAGAGGAGAAAGAGAGAGAGAGAGGTCAACCATCCACTGGTTCACTCCCCAGATGTCCACAACAGCCAGAGCTGTGCTGATCCGAAGCCAGGAGCCAGGAGCTTCCTCCGGGTCTCTCACGTGGGTTCAGGGGCCCAAGGACTTGGCATCTTCTACTACTTTCCAAGGCCACAGCAGAGAGCTGGATCAGAAGTAGAGCATCCAGGCCTCCTGGCTTCAGCTGCAGCATACCGGCTGCAGCGGCCATTGCAGGGTGAACCAACAGAAAAGGAAGACCCTTATGTCTCTCTCTCTCACTGTCCACTCTGCTTGTCAAGAAAAAAAAAGAAGAAGTAGAGCATCCAGGACTCAAACCGGCACCCATATGGGATGCCGGCCCTGCAGGTGGTGGCTTTACCTGCTATGTCGCAGCGCCAGCCCCCCAACTCCTTTCTACACTTTTTTTTTTTTACATGACAGATACCAAACTCTAGGTTGCAATTGTGTAGTCTGGGTTTTCCACTCAATAGTCTAGCATTAACACTCTCGCACCTCATCAAAACTCTTGCAAACATTCAAGCTAGTCATTCCTTATTCTTCAAACAGATTCAGTGCTGAACCCCAGCACTGAAGTCAAGTCTCGAGCGTTTGCTTCCACTCGCGTGCAGCATGAGCCAGCAGGAGATTGGTGTGCGAGTGCCCTGACACCACTGGCCCAGAGGGAGCGCCATCCTCAGGTGTCTTGGGAGGAGTCAGGCAGTTGAGATAGAAGAAAGACCCTGGCTTTGTTGGTGGCCAGTTGAAAGGAAAGTGAGGGTCATCTTTTGTCACAGAGGGTGGTGGGGAGCGGCTGTGTGTATGCACCTTTTGGGCAGAGACAGTTTAAATTTAGGGTTTACGCATGAGCTTCAAGGGACCAATGGGCCCCCAAATTATTTGCCCCACTGAATGTGGGGGTGAATATTCTGAGGGAGATGGTCCCCAGTCTTCAACTCCTTCCTGGGCCCCATGATCCCAGCCTGGAGTGGCTCTCTTTGCTCCTGTGGGTTGAGATGGCTCCTCTTCTAACTTCCTTCCTGCCAAGCTTGGGACAACCTGACCACTTCCTGAACAGGGACACCAGGGACAGCCAGGCTGGAGCCACCTGCCTGGCCCCAGAGCAGCCCAGGCCTGCCTCTGGGGCTATCAGAACTCCGGGCCATCCTGGGCAGGCCAGATGGACTGCACGATGGATGGCAGGGATGGTTTGTATGACTCTGCAGAATGGGCAGGTGCAGGTGCCCCGGGGGCCACGCTGTGGGGCTGACAGCAAAGGGTGCCATCCCGTTGATGATGGCGGTTGCAAGGTGGGGGGAGAGGATCCACTGTAGTGTGGCCCTGGCTGGGCTGGGGTGGGGGTGGCATGGGGGGGTCTTTTCCTAACAGGGCTTGGTTTTTCTCGATGACAGTGCTGCCATCCCCGGAGGTTTTGATACCACAAAGTGCAAGACGATCTTCCACAAGAACACTTGCAGCTACTCCGTGGTGGAGCTGGAGAACCCGGACAAGGAATGTCCAGTCAGCTCGTGGATCCTGTGAAGAGCTAGCGGCCCCAGGTCCTCCCGCGGGCCCGGACAGCCCGATGTACAGCCCTGCTTATCAGTAAAGCATGTGTGGAGCAATCACTCGGCTGTGTATGCATTGATTGCGCATTTTAAAGCATGTGAACTGAAGAGAAGAAAAGTGGAATAAAGGTTATGCCCATGTGCCCGCACCCAGCGTCCCCCGTCCCAGCGCCGGGCCACCCCTGTGGTTTCTGCCTGCGGCCTGCTCTCTGCTGGGCAATGAACACAGTCTATGAGTCTTTGGGATGAGATGGATCCTTTCCCTGTTTGGGGGTGTTTGTGTTTATCCTCCCTTCCCCTTCATGGGCGAGGGGCCTCTCTCTCTGCTGTGGCTCCCCACGAGCTGCTGTGTTTGCCTGAGGATAGAACAGGTCAGAGCAAGGCAGCCGGGAGAAGTGTCCAAGTCCTGGTACAGCACAGGGTTAAAGAGGCCAAGGCTGAGAGGGCGTGGCCTGAGGGAGCCAGGGCTGATGGGTTGTGGCCTGGGGAAGCCTGGGCTGAGGACCTGGCCTGGGGCAGCCAGGGCTGAAGGGGTGTGGCCTAGGAGCAGCTGGGGCTGAGGGGCATGGCCTGAGGAGTGAGGGCTGAAGGGCGTGGCCTGGGGCAGCCAGCTCCCCTCCCAGACCACTGAAAACAGTGACTTAAAAATGCACTGTCAACTTCTGTTCAGCTGGGCCAGGCAGTGAAGGGGCACTGGCTGGGTATACGTGACAGGTCACCAACAAGCCACTGGCCATCGGCCTCACAGCGTGTGGGCAGCTGATAAAGAGCATTCTCTCCCCTCTGGCCCGGCCCCATCTATGCAAACAGGCCACGTGGACGCGCTGAGCAGTGCAGCCGGGCCCCTCGGCGTCTTTGTCCACTCTAGATCGTGACTTCAGTTATGTCCAAGCCTTCCTGCAAACTCCGCGCCTGCGTCACGGGCATAGCCGTGGGCTTCTGGAACATTCCCCTACTGAGCCCCTCTCCACAGCTCACCTTCTGTATCCCTGCCGGTGCCTCCGCCACTTTCTACTCGGGCTGCCTTGCCCCTTGTTGAGTGGGACCCATAAGACCCCCTTTGGGGGCCGTCATTGTGGTGTGCCGGTTCGAGTCCCAGCTGCCCCACTTCCTATCCAGCTCTCTGCTATGTCCTGGGGAAGCAGTAGAAAATGATCCAAGTCCATGGGCCCCTGCACCCACTAGGGGGACCCAGAAGCTCCAGGCTCCTGGCTTCATCCTGGCTCAGCCTTAGCCATTGAAGCCATTTGGGTAGTGAACCCGCAGGTGGTGGACCTCTCTCTCTCTCTCTCTCTCTCTGTAACTCTGCCTTTCAAATAAATGAATTAATTGTTTTAAAGCTCCTATTACGATATTCCACTTGGCTGGGAAAAGTGGAAGCAGTTGTCAGTGAGTGTGGAGCCCCCTCAGGCATCTGGCTACAAACACACTCAGAATCCCAACGTGGTAACGCGACCCTGGGAAGCTGGTGTGAGGAGGCACCACAGGGCAGGCAGGGTGTGCAAGATGGCCCTTAGGGAGCAGCTAAGTGTGCCTTGGGAGTGGTTCCAGGGAGTTGGAATCTGGGTTGACATTAGCTATTTACCCTATGCCCTTATAACAATGGGAAGAGGTTTCACTTGAGTCTTTCCAGGGATCGCTCCTCAGTCTGTGTGTATACCGGCCCGAAATGTCAAACCCTGGACCCCAGTCTCCAAAGGCCGACCCTCTAACAGCCAACCTGAGCACCTTTCCCTAAACAAGCCACCCATGAAGAGACAAGGAAGAGGCCTGCCTCCTCCCAACATCGGGTGACATGGAGGACCTCAAGGGTCTGGTGGACCAAGCCCAACACCTGTCCCTGACCCCTAGTCCAATGGGCCCGCTGCTGGTGGTGCTGATCTGTGCAGCCCTGATGTTAAACTCAGGCCGCCGGTTACCAGGCTGGGTTCCAGGATGGGCCCAGTGATTTGGCTTTCTGTCCGGGCACACAGTAACTGGACTGGACCCTGGGACCAGCCCTTCAAGGATGCAGTCAGGCAGCTGGTAGAGCAGACTAAGAGGACCCTTCGACTGATCATCGCTCTGTTATACCCATTGTCGCTGCGGTAGCTGGTGCGGCTGTCGCCATCGTTTCCCTCGTCCAAAGTGTTCAAACAGCTGACTGGTGAACAACGTCACTCAGCTAACGGCCACTCCCCTGTTTACCCAAAACCAAGCCACCAGTCAGATCAAAACAGCGATCCTGGCCTTGGAACAGGGGTTGGATTCACATCAGAAACAGATTGAACTGCTTTGGCAGACCATGCACCCCCAGTGTGACGTTGGCTTCACAGATGGTTCTGTCGCCAGCGTGCCTGTCTTAGACTGGGAAACTTGGTCTCATACCTTGTCAGCCTGTATTGGGGCTCTTGGATGGGCAGTTTTCTCAGGCGCTCTTCAGTTTAACCCAACAAATTCTAAAGCTTGACGCTACCCACATTTCTGCCCTGGTAGTCACCACCTTTACATAGGGCCTGGGTGATAACTGGTGGGGACCCGTGAAGTTTTGCTTACATCCCAACATGTCGATTATTGCAGAAGGGGGCAATAAAAAAAGTCTCAAGAAAGTGCAATTTCTTGTTTTTTTTTTTTTTTTTCATTTGTAATGTTTTTAATGAAGATTTATTTTATTTTATTCGAAAGGCAGAGCTACAGAGAGGGGGAGAGAGAGATATTCCATCCACTGGTTCACTCCCATATGGCCACAGTGGCCTGATCTGGGCCCAAGCCCAGAGCTGCTACCGGGTCTTGTATGCTGGTGCAGCGGCCCAAGCACTTGGACCATCCTCCGGATGGCTTTCCCAGGCACATTAGCAGGGAGCTGGCTCAGAAGTGGAGCAGCTGGCTGTGCTTTAACTGCTTTGCCACAACACTGGCCCCAATTTACAATTCCTTTTACTGAAGATTTGTACAAACTGCCTAGTGTAGGTTGTTGCATGAAAGAAAACCAAATTGACAGTATTTCGAGTTTACTAAGTCCTACATTGATTCTGACCAACTTGGCCTTTTACCAGTAAGTTGGATGCCAGGAAAAGAAGTACAGATTGGAGATCTTGGTGGGGGGGGGTGCTGGTGGGGAAGGAACAGACAACAAAGAGTGTGAGAGCTGGAAGGTGGAGCTACAGATGACCTAGTCCAAGCCTTCATTCCACAGTGCCGATACTGGATCGTGGGCTCCTGCACCTGTCCTAACCACTTGGCACTGGTAAATGGCAATGGTTCTTTTCTCTGAGCCTATCATGGTGCTCCGTGGCCCTTGTTAGAGTTATCCAAGGTTCTGATACTTTGTGAGTTATTGAGGAGTGTGAATGTGGACTGAGGATCTTCAGGGAAGTTACTCCATTAGAACGTTCATTTTAAGATGGAGTGTTGGCAACTGAAAATTTATTAATACAGTACAGGAAGACTGTCGCTCCCCCTCTTCGTGGAGGATCGACACTAGACCCTGTGTTGTTCTTTCATCTGCTCGGCCCTCCCCAGGTTTGCTGCTGGTTCTTCCCGGGTTGGCTACCGACCCTTCCACCTCCGTGGAGGGGCGGGCCCCCTGCCACTTTCCCCACTTCCGCGGGGGAGCGGCACACCGCCAGCCGGCTCTCTTGGGGGCTGCTCAGGTGTTCCTTCAGATAGATGTTCCTGGTGCATGTTGTCTCTCTCCTCCTTTATAGTCCTCTTCCACCAATCCCAACTCTGCTACCCACACACCGAGTACGCTGCTCTCCTCCAATCAGGAGCAGGTCCTACAGTTTATTGGTTGAACTGGAGGCAGCTGTGTAGAAGCTGTTACTCCCTTCTCAGCGCCATATTGTGGGAGAGCAGATGCATAGAATAAGTCTTAATTCCAGTAACAGTCTAGTCCGAGTTGCTCCCCACAGAAGACCACGCCGGTCTTGGCTTCAGAACCTGGGACTAGACATTGGGAGCCTTAGTTCAAAGCCCCAATGTTACCCATGGCAGCTCTTGCCCTTTAGAATGGTCAGTTAAGCTGTGTGGGCCTTTGTGGCTTCATTTACGAAATGAGGGTGCTTCAATCAACCGATACTCAGGTTTTCAACTTCAAATTATGGTGTGTGTGGGTCACAGGTGGTTAGAGATCTTTGGAAATTTTTTGGTTAAACCATATGATAATAACTTAGCTTGCTTTGTGGTTAATTGCTCAATTTTGGTTCCATGATGTTTGAACTTCGGAATTGTATTCATGCAAACCATAGTATAAGTATGGTATATGTTGTTTATAGAACTCCTCTTTGAGGAGATATTAGGTTCTGTTTGAGGGTGTGTGTTTTTCTCTCCCTCTTTTTTTTTTTTTTTTTTTTGACAGAGTTCTCTCTCCCTCCTTTTAACAACCACCCCCTGCCCCACACTGAAACAATGATCATGGATCTAGAGGCAGGGAAGTTTTAGAAAGCACTAAACTTTCTAATTTCTTCTAAAAAAAATAAACATTTAAGACAACCCTCACTTGGAGGTGGTAGGAAGTAGTTTGGATTATTATTTTTTAAAGATTTACTTATTTATTTGAAAGTCAGAGTTACATAGAGAAGGAGAGGCAAAGAGAGGGAGGTCTTCCATCTGCTGGTTCACTCCCCAGTTGACTGCAATGCCTGGAGCTGTGCTGATCTGGAGCCAGGAGCCAGGAGCTTCTTCTAGGTCTCCCACATGGGTGCAGAGGCTCAAGGACTTGGGCCATCTTCTACTGCTTTCCCAGGCCATTGCAGAGCACTGGATAGGAAGTGGAGCATCTGGGACTTGAACAGGTGCCCACATGGGATGCTGGCACTGCAGGTAGCAGCTTTACCCACTGTGCCACAGTGCTGACCCTGAATAGGTTGGATTATAAATGTGAAGATAAGTAGAACTTTAAGTTTTTATTGATTTGAGTTTTTTAGATACAATTTGGTCCAATTTTACAGGTAGCAGAACTGGCAAAAGTATGTATGCTTGGGTTATAGTAGAGTGTTTTGACTATTGAGTTTTTTATTGTTAAGTGGAAGATTGGAGAAAAAGCTGATATTTATCAAAGCACCACCTCTTCCCCATAAGTGTGTGAGTCTATATTAATATCCTCACTGAATGGATTCGGAAGTTAGGATCAACAGGAGCAAATGGTGGTCCAACGTCAGAGCTCTAAGTAGTGACTAAAGGACGCTAACTCAGGGCCTTCTCGTTTCAGACCCCCTGACCTCCTGCTCCCAGTTTCTGTGCTGTCTTTTATACTCCTGAGGGGGAAATTCCTAAGCCGCCATCGTTGACCCAAACCCTCAGTGTTCAGATGGGCGAAGTGCTCCTAGACGGGGAGTGGCTCACGTCACCCTCGCTGCAGCCCTCTGTGGCTGCCGCTGTGTCAAAGTCACTGGAGGCCATTGTTTTTGACCAGTCTCCGGCACTAGGCCACAACAGACAAGGCCAAAAATCAACATGTAGTCATCCCTGCTAAAGTTCCATTTTCTCAAGCTGAAAGGATGTTGCTTGGCCTGCCAAGAAATGAGAGTTAGGGAGCATCCAAATGGACCAGTTTTCTTTGGTACAGTAGTGAAGTTCCCTCTGCTTGAATCCTTAGATCAGAGAGGTAGCCTGAAATAATCTGCTGTTAATTAACCATTGTTTTCTTGCTGGTGTAGTGCTCTCTCCTTTTCTACAAGGAAAGTAACTTGGAAATGATCAGTCTTTTCGTTCTTTTCTGTTTGCTGTCTTCAGCCTCTCCCAGCCCATAAAACCAACCTCTTCTGCTCAGCCCATCAGAGAGCTTCCACTTTATGTGATGAAGTGGTGCCTGAATCTAATTAAGGACTTCAGATGGTTCTAATTTGGTCCTTTGGCACTACTCTTGTCTCCATTGTTCAGAAGAAGTTGAGGTCCAGAGAGGTTAATTGACTGGCTCAGGGAGTCTCGAGCTTGCAGACGTAGACAGAACTCAGGCTTATCAGACTCCAGAGTGGTCTCCTGACCACCAGGCCTGCCATGCTGGCTGTGAGCCTGCCACAGTCACGTGAACCAGTTCCTTGAGAGAGGGACTCAGCTGCAGCTCATTGTCCTGGGAGTTTTTCTGTGTGATGGGGTTCTTGCTTCCAGCTCTGAAGGCTTCCTCCTCATCACAGGACAGGAGGGCCAGCCTCTACACACAGCTCTGGTCTCAGGAGCTGGGCTATAGGAGCCCTCTTTGCCCCACAAGGAAGGAGGAGGAAGCTAAGGACCGCGGAGACCCAAGCAGATGGGACTGGCCATGAAGAAACACTGAATGGATTACAGAGACCCTTATTCTAACAATGTGACTGTTTTGAAGGATAGCACTCATTCCAGCTTAAAAATGTTTGCTAACTCTGTGGAAACAACAGTTGGGTAACTTTAATCTCATCCTACATTCTGCCCATAGCTGATAAGGGAGAAAGCCAGTGTGTGTGCCGTGTTCTACCCTTCCCAGTGTGGAGTGGAGTTCCTGTGATTGAATGGAGAGGGCTGCTTTGGGGACCTGGAAATGCATAGGCACTGTATGCCTGTTTGGCTCCCATACTACAGCTCTGGGGTTCTTTTTTTTAAGATTTATTTCCTTGAAGGTCAGCGTTACACACACACACACACACGTCTTCCATCTGCTGGCTCACTTCCCAGTTGGACACAGTGGCCGGAGCTGTGCCGTTACAAAGCCAGGAGCCTCTTCTGGGTCTCCCACGCACATGCAGGGAAGGACCTGGGCCACCTTCCACTGCTTTCCCAGGCCATAGCAGAGAGCTGGATCAGAAGTGGAGCAGCTGGGACTAGAACCGGCACCCATATGGGATGCCTGCACTGCCGGCGGCAGCTTTCCCACTACACCACAGCACCGGCCCCATGTGTTGGGTTTCTTAACATTGTGAAGCAGCACTCAGATTTTGTTGGTTAAATGTTGCATCTGTCAGCCTTTGTGGCATTCCACATAGATGCCGAAGACCCAAGAAAGGGAAATCTGTCATAGATGAAGAAGGTTGTCTCACACGTTTGACCCAGGCTTAGACATAGTTTGCATGGCTGATGCGAGTGCAGAGGAAGCAGCTTGCCCAAGGAGGTGACCCTCCTGCTGCACCTCGGAGGCTGCCTCTCACCTGTGTTGTGCAGGTGGTGATCAGACTCCCTGTAGTGTGTGCCCAGTGCACACCCATGGGACACCTCTGCTTAAAACAGGTGCTGACAGTGTGAAAAAGGAAGCTGCTGAGTCACCCAGCTGGTGTGGGCGGCCTGGGGTTGGAAAACATTTCCACAGGGCTTCCAGCAGAGCCGATTAGGGAACCCTGTCCTTGATAGACCTTCTGAGCAAACAAGCTGAGGGCACAGAACTCAGGAGGGGGAGTTACAAAGTGTCCTGAGTCTACATTTCTTGGTGTCTGTGGGAGCTCCCCAGTTCCTGGTTTTGAATGTTTCGCTGAGGCAATGGTTGGTTTTAGTTACTTGATCAAATATAAGTTGGCTGTAAATGTTTGGATTGATTTCTGGTGTTTCTATTCTGTTCCATGGGTCTATCCATCTGTTTCTGTACCAGTACCATGCTGTTTTGATTATAACTGCCCTGTAGTATGTCCTGAAATCTGGTAT